AATGCTAACAGCATAATCACTTCTTTCTTTCAGGAGAATCACTAGAATTATTCTAATGGAGTCACACCCAAAATAAGATTAAATATATATATGGAAGAGAACCATTTTGCCCCTGAGTTCTAGCAATCGTAGAAAACATTCAGCTGAATCAGCACAATATTTGGACTCCATGACAAGTCAAAGGACATAGCTAGAGGTAGCGGTAAGACCCCTCAGTGGGAATTGATAAACAGAAATGGTGATAACTGGGTTGTCCCAGAACGTCAAACCCTAGCCTTCTACTGATACAGCTCCAGCATCCACTCTGTTTTGCTGTGGTTTAACCAACCAACAAACTTTTCATAAGCTTCTTAAACTAGCAATTAAAGCCAAAATTGAAATAAAATCAGACTAGAGAAACCCAGCTACATTTTTCTTGGAAGTTGTGAGTGTACATTGACTGGAAAGTTAAAACTGGTAACACCACTAGCTATCAAGAACCGTGAGCAGAATCTAAAAGAAGTATAGTTTTTGTTTGAGCAATCAAGAATTCTCTTTTATTGAACCAAGGCAGCAGATAGAGATGGAGAGTCTCAGAGGGAGAAAAAAAGAAAAAAGCAAAAAAAAAATCTTTCAACCTGAGGGATCTAGAGCTACATTATTATTTCCCAATGAAGTAAGCATCAGTTTCTGAAAAAGTACTTTATTCTGAAGGAAGGAACTTGTCACTTGCAAAGAATATATAAAGATAAGTGAACTGTATTTGAATGAGGAAATTTGAAATTCAGGCTCAAATTCTGTTGTAGTTTTTATTTTAAAATTTGGTTACAATTAAGAATTGATTTGTCTTTTTCAGTCTGTTTCCCCTTTGCTATTATTGCATTTTCTTATCAGTTGCAGAAGTCATTGAATTCTCTAAACTCTTTCTTAGTATTTGTTAGAAATCCGTTTATATAATCTATCATGATTTTGATAAGATTAGCAGTAAAAATGAATAAACTTATGATTTCTTGGACACTAGCTTGGAGTATATAGTGAAACATACAATGATTCATCAAACTTGTTTTCTGTAACTAGAAATGAGAGTAAAAAACAAAGGATTTTAAGAGTCTCTGATTCTGAAAAAAATCACAGGCAGACCCATAGCCTAAGACACACAATTTTAAATTGTCACACAGAGAAAGAGCTGTCCCAATTCTCCCACTGGAACACCTGCTGCTGCTGTCTTGGGAGCCATCACGAAGAATCCTGAAGCTTTGGGAGCCAGGGCAGACTAAATTAAGCTGTGGTAACAAACAACTCTGAACACCTCAGCAGTTTACCTTAAGAAAGGATTATTCTGTGTCCACACAAAGTCAGTAGCAGACATGAATGACTTTCTGGGGCACATTCTCACATGGCAGTTAGGTGATCCAGGCTGCTTCCATCTTGTAGCTCTATTATTTTTAATAAGGCTTCCTTGATCACTTTAGCAGGGAAAGAATTGGCAGCAGGGTCTCAGGTGGACTCTCCTATGCCTAAGCCCTGAAGTGACTTTTGCTTATAGCCCCCTGGCCAGGACTAGCTACAGAGCCTGCTCAGTTGCAAGGGGCTGAGACGTACAATCTTCCTTGTGACCAGAAGAGAAAAAAAACAGCTGTTTGGAAGCACTTGTAATTTCTACCTCCTTGCACAATGATTATCGAACCTTCTGAAATCGCAGATGGCTCTTGAACAGTTCAGGGGTTAGGAGCATCAGCACTCTGTGCAGTTGAAAATCCACATATAACTTTCGACTCCTCCCAAATTTAACTACTAATAGCTTACTGGAAGCCATATCTATCACATAAACAGTCAATTAACATATATTTTGTGTGTTGTGTGTATTATATACTGTATTTTTACCAAAAACTAAGCTAGAGAAAAGAAAATGTTATTAAGAAAATCA